ATATGCTTGAGTTAAAGACATTCGAATCTAAAACTCATCCTTCTGATGCTGTTCATTCTGAACCAGATGGGTTCTTCATGCCTTGGATAGCACTGTAGTTCTTTCAGCAACCTGGACAGGGTCTCACTAGAACCACTGGTGTGGCTTTTTTCAGAATCTTAAAAGTTTAATTATACACCAAGTTTCTGATATACTTCAGTTTTTAAGGACTTTTTTTTTTTTTTTTAAAGATTTATTTATTTATTTGAGAGAGAGAGAGTACAAGCTGGGGGAGGGGGTCGAGGGGTGAGGGAGAGAGAGAATCTCAAGCAGACTCTGTGCTGAGCATGGACCCTGACTTGGGGCTTGATCTCATAACCCTGAGATCACGACCTGAGTGGAAACTAAGAGTTGGATGCTTAACCGACTGTGCCACCTAGGCGCCCCTGGTATACCTCACTTTTTAAAGAGTATCATCAAAACACTTAACACCAAACTCGATTGGGAGGAATCTCCCAGATACTTAACCAACTGAGCCACCCAGGCACCCCTGTGTAAAACTTTTAATATCAAATAATTTTTTAATTAAAAATTTTTTTTAAAAGGTTTGTTTATTTGACACAGAGAGAGAGAGGGCACAAGCAGGGGGAACAGCAGGCAGAGGGAGAGAAGCAGACTCCCTGCTGAGCAAGGAACCTGATATGGGACTCGATTCCAGGACCCCAGGATCATGACCCGAGCTGAAGGCAGCCGCTTGCCTGAGCCACCCATGGGCCCCAATATCAAATAACTTCGTATATTTTTTCTCATATTAATCTCTCTGTTGTCAGTTTATTTTGCAGAACCAGCTGAAGAACCTTAGAGGGCAGAGGTGAATCTTTCTCCCTTGTAAGATATTTGCATTCTTGCAAAGTTTAGAAATCTCCAGTGATGGCAAGCCCAATCATGAGTCTGCTTTGAGAGGTCTTTCTTTTCCATCTCGAATCTTAAAGACCGTTTTACTTTTCCTTTCCCCTTTGAGCCTTCTGTCTACAATATCCCCTGCCTGATCTGTGGGATCTAGGCTCTAAATAACCACACGGTTTCCACACTGGCTCCTGCTGTTGGTCTTTGTTGTGGAATGACATGCCTGTAAAGCCTGTCTTGTAAGGGTAGCCTCTCTTTCACTCCCTTGTTTTTTTCTTTTTTTAAAAAGATTTTATTTATTTGACACAGAGAGACATAGCGAGAGAGAGAACACAAGCAGGGGGAGCGGGAGAGGGAGAAGCAGGCTTCCCGCCGAGCAGGGAGCCCGATGTGGGGCTCGATCCCAGGATCCTGGGATCATGACGTGAGCCGAAGGCAGACACTTAACGACGAAGCCACCCAGGCTCCCCAGTCCCTCATTTTTTTTCAACCAGAAAACATCCTCGCAGATTCCTGAACTAAAGCTGCTATGGACATTTCTGCAGCTGAATCTCTAGGTTCAGCTATGAATGACAAAACCCCCAAAGTAACAGTGGAAAGGTAGATGTTTATTCCACTCACATAAACATCTAGGTCACCGTTTGAGGGCTGGTGTTATCCAGATTCCTTTGACACTGTTGCCCCATCATGCTTGGTTTGACTTCCCTGTCCCATATGCAGGTATCTTCAGCAACAGGAGCAGGAAGGGATGAAAGGAAAGCAGAGAGTGCTGCATCTAGTATCTTAAGGAAGACTCTTAGAAGCTGTCACACTTGACTCTTCTGTTTACATCTCATTTACCACAATGTAGACACACAAGTATCCTGAGCTGTAAGAGAAGCTAGGAAGTGTAGTCTTCATTCTAGTCTGCCATATACCCAACTAAACCTATTCAAGAGAGGGAGAACGAATACTGGGGGCAACTGGACTACCAGATTAATTGCACTGGTGAGGACAGATACCTCTGTGGAGCCCTCCTCAGCACTCCACCTTCCCTTGCTTTTGATTGGTCCAGGCCTCCAGGAGTATTTCCCTCCACTCTGCCTTTGTCAGCAATACTGGATATGTCCTAGGGCTTGACTTCCCCTCTATACTTTTCAAGGTGAACAGCTGGATTTGTCACAGTTTAACTTACCTCCTAATAAGTTAAATTTCCCTAATAAAGGCCTAGTATTTGTAGAATCTGATGCCTTTTTTTTTCTTTCTTCCTTTTTTTATCTTTCTCTTCTTTCTGGCCTAGACATGTACTTACCTGACATTCTGTTCTAGATTTTGTCTAATGGGGTCTTCCGTTTTGAGAGCTAAATCACTAGGTCTGCTGGGCCAAAAGCAACCATTGTTCAAAAAAAAAAAACCTTGGCCACTCTCACCTTTCTGAGTTAGATAATCAACATGCATTTTGTGATTAGGCTAACAGCCAATCCAGGCTTGGATTCCATTTATCACTGTCCTGATTGGCTCTCTGTTATGTTTCATCTTTCTGGTTGCCTTCATTTACAGTCTAAAATTTCAAAATTTCTCAGCCTGTTCCCTCTGGGTATGGACAGCACTTATATTCCTATTTACAATTTTAGTGACATCTGGGAACCCATTCAATAATCCCTTGAATAGTGTACTTCCATCTGGCTGATCCTCCCCTTTTGAACTGTCCAACCTTTCAGGCATCAGTGTCCCAAACTTTAAGGAGGAATTCCCAATAGTTCTTGGCAAGTAGTCTCTATTCTCTGTGTAGCTCTAAGAGAGTACTTTGCCGGTAGTGGTCTATATTCTTGCTCCCTCTGAGAGTCAGCACAGTCGGCTATGATTTTGCTTCTATTCTTGTTTGATTTTTTTGGGACCAAGTTATTATTTCTGAGCTAAAAAAAAAACCCAAACCTCCAAAACATCTACTCATTTTAAAAATAACCTCTTATATGAATTAAACCTAAGTACATCATCTTTTCCCTTTTATCTGTCCTTCAATTTCATTTTTCCTTTTATAGCCATCTGATCTGTTCTCTAAGATCTCAACTTTATCTCCAAAAACTTTCTCCAAAAAAAACTTTCTCCTTCACAAGCTTAATTATTCTTAATTTTGTTCTCATTCTTTCATTGCTCCTGTTCTAAAACTGAAGCACATTCTAGAAACACTCTACACATTACCTGATTTCCTGAACAAATCTGCCTAGACACACAAGGTTCTAGGCACAGGACTAACTGCCTTCTTTAGATCTTTGGGTTTAAAACAATTTAACTCAATTGTGTCTTTAACTTAGGCATTTTCCATTATAATAAGGGCTTCTATTTCTTTGCCTTTTTTTTTTTTTAAGATTTATTTATTTATTTTGGGGGAGAGGGGGTAGAGGGAGAGAGAGTCCCAAGCAGACACCCCAGACTCCCCACTGAGCACAGAGCCTGAAGTGGGGCTCTAGCTCACGACCCTGAGATCATGACCTGAGTCAAAACCGAGTTGGACACTCAACCAGCTGAGCTACCCAGGAGCCCCTTTCCTTTTTTTTTTTTTAAGATTTTATTTATTTATTTGAGATGAAGAGAGAGCACAGAGGGAGAGTGAGAGGGAGCAGCAGACTCACCGCTGGGCAGAGAGCCCAATGCGGGGCAAGATCCCAGGACCCTGAGATCATGACCTGAGTAGACACACTTAACTGACTAAGCCACCCAGGCGCCTCTCTGCTTTGTTTGTCTGCAAAGCTGGAGGCTTGGAAATCTAAAGCCATGGTCAGAGCCTCTAAAATTTATAAATCTAGTCACTTTTGGATCACACGGTGGGGGATGACTCTTGAGACTCTTGACAGGCCACATGACTTCAAGATTAGTCTTTGGGCACTGCCTACATAGGCTGGTATTAACAGTTGAAAACTAGAACTTCAAACTCCAGTACTCCATAGCACCCATGCTGTATAAAGAATGCACTGTAAACGATAGCATTAGAAAACCATCATTTTGCAAGTCACTAGAAAAAATAATAGGTAGCAATTACCAGTGAGTACCAAATGAGTTAGATAAAAGACTGATGGGGAACTTTATAATGATGCATTGACTGACAATACCTGAGTGGACTGTCAGCTCTAAAATCTCTAAAACTGGTACAAGGGATATTATGTGCCTGATGTGATGCAACAGCAACAGTATTTCTTATAAATTATTTGTGCAAACAAATTTTGAACACAAATTTATTGGAACTTCTTAAATCTATCAGTTGGCAGGAAAAAGGGGTGATAGAGGAACATGTTAAATGACACAAAGAGCATATGATCATCCAAACTCAGAAAGTGAGACAAAGGGCTCAGTTTAACAAAAAAGTGGCATTTTAAGAGGGAGCATGAACTGTATAGATTTTAAGATCCTTAAGAACCATACCAACCAAAGGCAATGCATGAATCTCACCTGGGACCTGATTTTTTTTAAAGATTTTATTGATTTATTTGAGAGAGAGAGAGTGTGTGAGCATGAGGGGGTGGGGCAGAGGGAGAGGGAGAAGCAGACTCCCCACTGAGCAGGGAGCCTGACCCCGGGCTCGATCCCAGTATCCTGGGATCATGACCTGAACTGAAGGTAGCCGCCCAACCGACTGAGCCACCCAGGTGCCCCATAGGACCTGATTTAAACAAACCAACTGTAAAGGCATTTTAGACTTACAGAAAAGTTGCCGTAGTACAAAGAATTGCTATATAACCTTCACCTAGATTCCCCAAATGTTAACAACCTATCACATTCACTTCAGCATTTTTCTGTCTACATATTCACATTTGTTTTTTGAGAGTAAGTTGCAACCAAAAATGCTCCTTTACCTGTAAGTTTCACTGTGTATTATCTAAAGACATGGACGTTCTCCTACATAATCACAGTACCATTATCAAAATCTGGAAATTAACACCAATTAACATTAGCTACAACCTTATTAAAAGTGTGCCATTTGTCCCACTAGATCTTTTATAGCAAAAGAAAATTTTTTCTTGGTCCAGAATCCAATCCCCGCATGTCCTCCTTATTATAGATAATTGAGTCTAATGAAATGAGATCATTTATAATGATTACATAGTAAAACTTATAGCCAAAAATACAAAAAGTCCTCATTTTATTTTTTGCAAAGTACTTTTTAAAAATTTTATTTCACCAAGGACTAATCCTTTGCTAATGTTCAAATTTAAACTATTTTTCTGAGTTTGTTTCATAAGAGAAAAACATGAAAAGTTGCTTCTGTGGCATTTTCTTCTAGTTTTTCAAGCCCTCTTGCAGTAGCAACTGGTTCAAAATACTGCTTTGTTTCAAAGCATGCAGTTTAGATGTATCTTCACTGATGATGGTAATATTTCCATTTTGTTCCTGAGCTGTCAGGTCACTTTCACTGTCAGACAGTGTACACAGTAGAGTGTCATTTTCATAGGTTGGAAAATAATACCTGAAAACAACCACAGATATACTGAACAACCAAACTATAAATTATCCAGTAAAGTTTCTAGGCAGTTGAACATACACTTTACTATAATTCTGCTAGGTTTCCTTGCCAACAATTTTGACGGCATTTTGCAAAGGTGGTATGGGAGACAACTTCTGAATTACTTTTACTTTGACCTTTACTGGCTGGTATCAGTCTTACCAGTATCCTTGCTAGCTGCCCATTCAGCCTGTGCTTGATAGTCCCACAAAAACTATCTCGAAAGGCAGCTTACTCCAGTACTGGACAGCTCTAGCTGTTAGATAGAGCGCCATGGATGAAGCTAAAAATGACATCCCCTTCATTTCTACTCAAAGGCCCCAGTTCTTCCCTACAGATTACTAAAACTCAAATATGGCTACTTTTTCATACATGAATCCTTTAAATATCTGATGAAAACACTGTTTCCCTTGAATGTGTGTGTGTTCTTCCCAACTTAATCACTACTGGTTCCTTCATTCTAGGTGATCAAAAATTAAAACATCTGTAGAATTTTAAGTCTATTATTCAGGTTCCTTTTCTGGACACACTTAGGAGTTAGTTCTGGAGTATCTCTAAAGATTTCACTTTATTTAAGAATTACAGGAACAGGGTCTCAGGCAATCCAGGACCGACTTTGCCTCTCACAAATCTGGGATTTTCTTTCTTTCTTTTTTTAAAAGATTTTATTTATTTATTTTAGAGAGAGAGAGGGAGACAGAGAGAACAAGTGAGTGTGAGCAGGCGGAGGGGTAGAGGGAGAATCTCAAATAGATTTCATGCTGAGTGCAGAAGCTGATGTGGGGCTCGATCTCATGACCCTACTATGATCATGACCTGAGTCGAAACCAAGAGTTGGGCACTTAACTGACTGAACCACCCAGGTGCCCTGAAATCTGGGATTTTCTAGAGGAAAATCTAGAGCTTTGGGGCTAGTGTTGGGCAAGAGTTGGGGGCGGGGGAGGGAGGAGGCTTATTTAACATTTCCTAAGAAGAGAGGAACCTCCAGGCAGCTAGAACTCTACAACCTCTCAGAGGTTCTCTCAGCTGAGGTTGTCCAGACTATGAGAACCAGCCCAGATGGCTGAACTGGCAAAGAAGTCTGATACCACCTCCATAGTACAGATCAGATCAGTGGACCAACTGCTTAACATTTATAAAGTGCTGAGATGAAAAATATATACCAAAAACCCTAATAGTTGTGTACTCTTTGACAGAGTAATTTTATTTCTAGGAGTTTATCTAAAAGAAAAATTGGGTAAGTGTGCAACAATGCAGGCATATGGATGGATACTCATTGTATTACTATTTAAAAGAGCAAAATGCAAGAAACAACCTCAATATCTAGCAAATTAGGGTATATCTATTGAATGGGATATTTGACAACCATTAAAAATGATGCAATCGATATGTATTAGATATAGAAACATGCTTACAATATTCTGTTAACAAAATATAATGGAAAAATCTATAATTCTATATCTACATCTTTATCTCCATACCACAAAATCTGGTTAAACTTACAAAAACGGGATTCCTTTAAAAATAAGGTTTTTGAAGATTTTTACTTTTTTCTATACATGTATGTTTCTCTTTTATTTAGGTTTGGAGAAATGAATAAAAACAAGTAAGGGATATGGAGCTAAGAAGTATATGTTTGGTTGAGTAGTACTCACTCTGGTTGATCCCATGTCTTTCTTTCAGGAAGCAGTGATGTATGTTTAGCTTCTTCCATATGAGTCCTTAACTCTGCTTTGGATTTGAATTTCACATGGCAGCCATAACATCTACATTGGTGAATTTGCCTCCGAATGAAATTGACCAGTTTCACTTGTTGGTAGAAATTTAATCCTGAAAATGATAGTTTATACAATCATTAGACAACTGGTCAGACCCATTTTTGTACTGTTATAATTTTTTAAAAGAGCCATGTCTCCTTTTTTAAAAAAAGATTTATTTTCTTTGAAAGAGGGAGAGAGAGTGAGTACGAGCAGAGGGAGGGGCACACGGACAAGCAGAGTCTGCACTGAGCATGGAGCCCGAGGTGGGGCTCGATCCCAGGACCCTGAGATCATGACCTGAGCCGAAGTCAAATGCTTAACCGATGTCAACCGAAGTCAAATGCTGAACCACCCAAGTGCCCGAGCCACTTCTCTTTATTAACCAACCTGAAGAGGCAGTACAATTATAAAGAATAATAGATACAAGGGGTGCCTGGGTGGCTCAGATGGTTAAGTGTCTGCCTTCGGCTCAGGTCATGATCCCAGGGTTCTGGGATCGAGTTCCGCATCGGGCTCCTCGCTCAGCGGGGAGCCTGTCTCTCTCTCTCTCTCTGTCTCTTATGAATAAATAAATAAAATCTTTAAAAAAAAAAAAGAATAATAGATACCAAACAATAACAGCCAATACTTATATAGGGCTTATGTGCTAGGCACTGTTCTAATCAGTTTCCATGCATTAGTATGTTTAATTCTTGCAAAATTCAACCACATAGGTAGTATTGTCATACCCACATTATCTATTAGGAAACTGTCCAAGGTTGCACAGCTAGTGGGTGGTAGAGCCAACATTTGACATATATACATGTCTGTAAGAATAGCAAAGTAAAGCAACACATTCCAGAGTCTAGGAAAGTAGTAAGCTGAGGTGTGGGAAGTGAGCTTTCTACTGTCTTTGATCCATTAGCAAGTCAGTAATTTACATCTTCATGACCCTAATCTTTCCATCATACTGATACTGAGAATGATGCAATTGGGTCCATCTGTGATAAATAATCTAGCTACACTGCCAAGCAGTACAGTAGGTATTTTATTTTATTTTATTATTATTATTTTTAAAGATTTTATTTATTTATTTGAGAAAGAATGAGAGA